CCGTATGGCACGTGATTCATCTGATAAATACGTCTTAATAAAGGTACTTCATAAAACGTCTTCCCACCGGAAATGTCTTGTGGTGGTTGCTTAGGGAAGCGCGATGGCACGAGTACGTATTCACTGTCAAAACAATAAAAACATCGATGACAACAACATCATGAACAAAGGTATACAGATTCACGATTAAATTTGGCTTTTAGCGTCGACTCCAATACGTTATTGCTGTTCACAATTCTTCTTCGGCTACGGCCTGTCTACTTTCAGTTAATGAAAATAATTTAACCTTATAAGATTAAAACGGTGCATGCAATTGCTACAAAACCTGAATAGGCCATGTCATGTAATCGAATTAAGAAATGAAAGTGCAAAGGAGAAGCAATTTTAAGTAAATTATTTTTAATGCGAAGACCGACTGCATGTGAACAGAATTCATGTAAAGATGTTGGATAACGACTAGTGAAGAGTGAAACGATATGTTCAAAAGTTTTCTCGTTTGCATCTTGACACAATCCATCATCTATGCTTTACATAAAGTACACATTACTATTTGTGATCCATAATTACCTGTCAAGACARTAAACTAGTTGAAATCGACTCAATAAGCGAATGCATTGATGTTGGGAATGCTCTGTGAAGCTGATTTCTTCTACATCATGAAACAACTGATCTTTACGAACAAGACCACCGTCGTCGATGTCTGGACAGACGACCTGCCTCATTATAGAGAACAGCCATCTTGGGTCGATAAAGTAGAGATCTCGTAAATCACGATCGTCGAATTGAAGGATGATACCTASGGTTGGACGAAAATGATATTTGATATGATGGTATTCAAAATAACCCGTTATATTCATTGATGATGATAATGATGATCATGTAAGTACTTATAGTTGAGAAAAAGATAATGATATTCAATGAAGGCGTTTTTTATCGATGTCTCGTCGCTTTTCTCCGTCTAACAATCTATAAAAWCTCTCCTCACATCAGAAACTTATACGGATAGATAAGAGAGTACAATTGTGGCCAGATATGCTGWTAAAGAAGCTTTACTTTTTTCCATATTACTGAAGTCTACAGTTACGCAATAAACAGTGGAGCTATGCCAAATTATAGAGAAAGAGAATTAGAAAACACCATATAAAACGCTTGCATCATGTAACATTTAATWARCCATCAAAGTAGATAATAAACCAATCCACTACCAAGTCAGCGCAAAAAGGACTGTCTCTTGTCTATTAATTCTCCGTAGTTGAGGTTTCTGGACTGTTCAGGAGTGATTTTTGAAAACTTTCTCATTTTAATGRCTAAACTGTTAAWCATGTAGACTCCACTAACACTGAGATTCAAGGAGTGTTACAGGAGTTTTTCTCCTCTGTTTTCTTAAACAAATTTTCAACATGAAATTCGGAGACTTAAAARGTTTTCAAGAATTTCAAGGAGTTACACGGATCTGTAGTTAAAATACACTGTCGTTGCTGCCTCTATCAATTACCTCTATCCTTCAGGAACGCAACAGCCTCGACAAACTCATTTGCCATAAGATGCTTATGTCCAGAGACATGTCTCATTAACGCYTTTAATTTTTCTCTGTTTACAATGGGTACAGTTTCTTTTTTGGACATCGAACTACGCAAAGATTCAATGCTCTTGACCATTTTGTGGAACCAAGTGGGAACAGGCTCATCCAATACTCGAATACCCTTGTCACGTATTATATCCCCACTGGCTTTTATGATCTTTWGCTTTAAGTCGCTGATACCTGAGGCATCCACGAATACACCTAAGAAAACGAACTTAAATAATTTAGGAATTGATTTCCAAATACAAATTTCAAAAAGGGATTGGCGCCTAGTCGCGAACTTGATGAAGTTTAAAGCAGTAAAGAAAGGCACGAAAAGAGAACACTAAAGTTAGTAAAATTGCTAGGTTTTAACCTATTCGGATATATAATTACAGAATGGTAAGAGTTCAAACTCAAAAAAATAACAACGAATATATGGAAGTTTAGAGCGGCGTCCCAAAATTTTAACCAAAAGGTCTGAAAATAACACTATTTGTAGTAAGTTCTTTCGTGTGGTCCACCGGGTTGGGTTCCACCGGGTTGGGTTGATGATAAGTGGAGTATTTTTATACTTCTCACAGTCCCTTTGGCTAATGTAAGCGTYAAGCTTTYTTGTCATTTAATGTTTCGTAAGTATTTACGTTTGATGGTAGAAATGATAATCGTTCCAATACACCATACATACCGTCAGAGTCCGCAACGTTACAGCTAACTTCTACAACATCAGCAAAACGTACGTTTCTATTGCTGTACTCSCCAGTCATATCGTTTATGAAGCCTCTCATTTCCTTAATATACTGCCTGRCATCAAGCTTGCTGTTAGCTTCCCTGACGCAATCAAGATGGGTTCCAACAATGATCACTGTAGCTTTTGATGTTTGGTGGCATGAAATATTATCAAGCCAGACTTTCATATCCTGAGACATRAAAATAAAAGAACTTTATGGCGGTCCGGATTTCTGCATGTAACGAAATTCTCACCTGAATTCCCTGTAGCCCATCCATGAGGTTCCATACAAGTATATAAAGACCAATCGATGGTAAGAAACACATGTGCATCAAATGAAAATCTTTCTGGCCTGCAAAATCCCACACTTTAAAAGTGATTCTTGGCCCTGCTGGYAGCAGACCTGCAATGACYTTCTGCATTTTCATCTCGCTGACTTCAACACCTGCAGTGAAAAAGCATTTTTGAAAATTACTTGTTGTCTTTGAGCAAMGTTAAAAAGTTGATTAGCAACCGTCATGTTGTCCAAACCTTTCGTCATTGTCCGGTCATTGACATTTCTGTTATATTCCAAGTCGTTTCGTAGTCTATGTACCAGGGTTGTCTTGCCTTTATCTTGCCAACCTATCACTAATAGTTTAATGGTTTTAAACGGCTCAGCCTTCAACAACAGTGATCGTAGCCACTGGATGAGCTCCTCTTCACTGTCACAATGGCTTGACCAGTCTAGTGGCCAGGATATCTGGAAAGGGCAAACCTCCCAGTTAGAAATAAGATWCTGGTTCTGTTATCAAAACTGGACGGCCTAGCTAATGTGAAGTAAACTTTACTAAACTGTCGAGAAAAAGAAATTCTTACATRTTTAAAAACTTAAATCCTATCACGTGACTACCGTAACAAAAAAAGTGAAGTCAATGAAATATACTCAAGTAAACGCTCAGTTAAATAGAATCCTAGTTTCCTATCTGTTGTGCAGATAATAGCTGTGGTKCTTGCACCTAACAAGAGAAGTGGAAATTCATATCTTTTATTAATACCTTTTCCTTGTCATACTTAAACGTAGTGAGTTTTGTAAGTCGTCCCAGGCCTAATGGCAAAACAGTGATAGAATTGCCATGGACTTCAAGCGTCTCCAAGSTAGCAATGAGCAAAACACATTCTGGAATAAATTCAAACAGGTTCTTGTCSAGYTTCAGTGTTCTTAAGTTCGATTGTGCATATGCTTTCGGCAGATCTTTCAATAAATTATTAGATAAATACAAATGGTTTAGAGACTCAGAAACCTTTTTAACCTCAGGTAATGTATGCAGTTTGTTTCTGCTAAGACGCAACGTTGTAAGCAGTGGAAGCTTGAACACAATACACGGCACTTCTGTTAGACTGTTGTYGCGAAGATCAATTTGAGTTATTTGATCCCATCCAAGACCTTTT